ACCAACTCGGATTGGGTTGGGCCAGGTTGGTCGGTTTGAATTTATTTGTGAACAGCCCTACTACCCATGAAAGTCAAATCGGAAATATGTCGTTGAAATTATTTCTTGTACTCTACGTAGTGTTGGTAATATACTAGTATTCATTAGAGAATATGCCAACTCCAGTAAAATTTTATATCGCTACCCATAAAAATGAAAATATGTCATGAAAAAATTAGGAAAATTAGAGAAATTTTAAACCATGCTCTTGTGGGTAAGAGATCTGGATTAGAGTGGAACAGATGGGTCCAATCCAAATCTGCCCAGTCTGCATTGGTGGCTGACATGGTCACACATGGACTAACAGAAAAAAATTAACCTCAATGGTAGAACATAAACAACTGGTAGGAGTTAAGACTGGTTTAGTAGTTGAATGAACTGGACATCTTGTTTGTTTTAATAATCTGTTCACTATTTTAATAGACAGTTAATTTAATCTTGATAAAGATTTTGGTTTAATTGTCATCTCCTGAACCATTTGTTCATTTTGTTGAGCTAGGTCATCCACTCTGGTGCTTAAAACACTAGGATGAAACTAGACCATTTATTAAAACTGTTAAAAATAAAGACATAAATAGCAGTCTTTAATTAACCATATAATTTAACTATAATTACTTGAATTGAAAACTAATTGTTACTTGATTTCAATTTGTCATTTGTTATCCTCGCTCAGTTTCGTATTGTACTTATATCATAGGGGGAATATTGGATATTAAATAAGGAGCTATGAAACAAATAACAACTGTAGGATTGATTATTGATGGATCAAACTGTTATGGTTGGATTTATTGGTCACCCTCTGAAAACTATTATATAATGATTAACATGATATGCGTCAGAGAAATATGCTAATCAACCATGTAGTAATTGTATATTGCCTATTTTCTATGATGTATACCAATAATTTCATAGAATACGGCATTTGTCTTAAATTAAAATTTGATGGTTTATTCAATTGATGCACATCAAGGAAAATATCTCTCAGTGGGCCTTGGATGATTGCCAATAGAGTTTTAGATTTCTATGTCCTTGTCATCATGCTTACTTGAAATACAATTAAGAATAGGTGATGACAAACCTCAACCCAAAAACAAAACCTAACCATGGTAGGGGTTGGAAGTTACAACTTAAATATTTTTACATGGATAAGAAACAAGAGATCTCAAGGTTAACCTCTGGATTGAGAACCTATAGACAACTGAAAATGTCTTTGGAGTTGGTTCCTACTTGATCAGAGGGTCTGAAGCTATTTCCTGAGGAAACATTCACAAACTTATATGGTTATGGTAGATCTTGTTTCATTTGAGAAAATTGGTTGAAGATCTTTTCTAGCTGAACTATAAATGTTGCACACCTCTGCTGGAGAGATGCTAGACAGAAATCAACTTAATTGGGTGCTTTTAACCATATTAAATAAATGGACAATTTTTTAAAGAACAAAATCCTAATTTTAACCATTGATAAATGATTCAAATATTGTATGGTAAATTCACCCAAATGAGATTGATTCTTGGTGTAAAAATATTTAATGTTGAGAAGAGAGAATGAGTAAACTGCAGGAATATAATTTAATATTCTACTCAATAAGATCTTAAACATTACAAGTTGAATATTTAATATTGCACTAATTTGATTTTAATTAGTTGGACACAGACGATTAGTGTTAAGGCACAAGCAACAATTATTAATGGCTTGTTTGTTTAAAATTGATCCAACATTTGGACAGTTGAAGTGTCCATAAGGGGATTCACCCTGAATGGGGTAGGGATGGGGATGAAGAAATTTTCATCCCATTGGTCAGGATGAGAGATCACTCCCTGCTCCATGGGTCTTTGATCCTTACCCCATAAAACTTATAGGATTGTAAATTATAATTATTTTAATTTTATTTATTTATTTTTGAAATGAAATAAGAATAAAAAATAAAGTGAATTTTACATTATAAAAAAAATGGTGAGAAGTGGGGATCCCTGTAACTCCCTATCTTTGCCCTGCCCCGTTGCCATTCCTAGATGTCACTTTTGCTTTGACCAAGTCATAACTGAACAATGGTAGCCAAGACTACGACTGTAGTCATTTTGAAATGGGCTTTGGCCCAGCCCATGAGTTAAAAAGATGCAGGATAAAGTGGGCGCTTACAAATTTCCGATATGCTGATGATCTATCTACTGGTCGAGATGGTTGCATACATGGACGCCCCTCAGTGGAACTGCATGCTCTCCGTGGAATACTAGTGGGTCTCACATGCACCCACCTGTACCCCACCCCTTACTCCTCCATCCCAAAGAAGAAGAATCCCATGATGGTCTGTTATGGATTTAGGTCTGATTGTTTTGTTCTTTTTTTCTATAGGCTTAGTTTGGAAGGAGTATGAATACAAATATTCAGTGTAAATACATACAAAATAGTACAAAATATAAGGTTTTGCACTCTAAGAGTAATTGTTGCTAAGGCTCAGTTTGGAAAGAATACAAATACAAATATGTACAGCCTAAATACATATAAAATATAAGGTTTTGCATTCTATATATTTGTATTTATACTCCTTCCAAACTGAATCATAAGAGTAATTGTTGCTGAATTAACATTCACGAATGCAAATGCAATCTTACGTTGTGGTATCTTCATTCAATGGAAAGTTCCTCACAGACAAGAAGATCATGTAGGGTCCTCAATGGTCAGAGGAGTCGACACCAAATCAGCCCCCCACAATGTCCCACATTACATTCTTATGGTATACTGAGAATATCTCTCGATTATGACATCTTCATTTCATTTCTAATATTATCATTGGGAGATGTTTCCAATACATGACGGAAATGTACTGTGAAACGTTGTAGGGAGAAGTCTTGTGGTGGGGCTAATTTGAACTCCAGAGAATCTGTTCGCCGGGAGTGACTGCGAATGGTGGGGGGCAAAGGGTCGTTAAGATGAATGATGATGGACTTTTCTCACTGGAGATACTAATCGACTTTTCTCACTGAAGATGCTTTCTGTCATAGAAAGAGAACCCTTCCAAGTCAATACAACTGCTGACGGAGGGTTGTGACGTGCATGGGTGTCGACGAAGCGTACTCTGTCACTCATGTTTAAGTTGCTGCATGCAGAGTTCTTTGAGTGCTAAGACTTGTTCAAGGCCATTGCTGAATTAAATCGATATATTGGGCTCTGATACCATAAAACTGAACTAAAGAACTAAAGAATTTCACCGAGTAGAATTTTCATGTATTTATACTTTGAGATTTACAAGATAGCGATAGTTACAAATACAATGTTCTAGTGAATCACGCATTATAGATGGTGCCTCACCCAGTCACCACCTAATTAAGAATGAGTTTTCTGGTTTTTCATCTATAGTAGGAATGGCAACGGGGCAGGTTTGGGGCGGGGCATCCCTCCCGTTCTCACCCCAAAGTCAAGATATTTTGCCTCGCCCCCGCCCTGTCCCCGGTGGCGGGGTATTCACTCCCCGTCGGGGACAGGTAATTCCCGAATTTTTCTCACTTCAACACAACTTTTTAAAAATTATTTATTTTGTGGACAATTTATACATATAATATAGAAATTTTGGGGTATCTTAGGAATTGAATTATAGTACTTTGAGGGTACTTCAAAAATAAAATTATGAGATTTTAGGATTTTAAGAATTTAAGGAAAACTTAGAGATATTTTAAATATCAATATTAAACCTAGAAATATTTTACTAATTTTACCTTCGGGTTTGGGGCGGGTTTGGGGAATTATATACAAAACACGTCCCTATCCTGTTCCCAATTCAGGGAAAATATATTTTCCCCGTCCCCGCCCCATCCCCATTTAGGGTCGGGGAAAACCTGCCCCGTTCAGGGCGGGGCAGGGCCCCGGTTTTACAGGGAAAATTGCCATCCCTAATCCATAGTTAGGTATGTGTCTTTGATCTTCTACAAGGTTAGGTATACATAATAGTTTTATGCCACCGGTCCTCAACATATGAAAAAAATGCATGTATTGTATAAAGTTAATTTTGGCATTTGAAAATGTCTAATGCATCTATCAGAATGAAGTAGTTAAATGACACTTCCTCTGGGTGTGGGTCTGGAATAGAGAAGGGACATGTTTGTTTGATGTACGTGCTGATGTTAAAAGAATTCCATGTTTTACAGAGTAGATTACATTAAGTTTCCTAATAAAAATGGAAGATGAATTGGTTGTAGGTGATAAAATCTAAAAACCTCCCCTCAAGTTTCTAAGTAATTTTTTCTAAGATTCCATTTGGTTTGTGGGATGGGGGTGAGAAAAAGGGCATATTTCAAAAATATTCACTTTCTCTTGTTTGTTTTAAGGGGAATAGAGGGATGGGATGAGAAATTGGGAAACCACTGTTACATCCCCTTTCCGTTCGAATCCAGAAGCAGAGCAGGGGCGGCGGCACCTCCTTGTTCTTCTTCTTCTCTCTTCTCCTCTTTCTTCTTCTTCTGTGTTTTGTTTTTCACCCAAAAAAAACACTATTCATCATCTTCTCGACAACGAACACAAGAAACATTGTTCATCGTCTTCCTTGTTCTTCCCCCTTCCTTTACATCCTCACTTTCCACCGATGAACTACTATTCGTCTTCCTCTTGGTGAAAGTGCGAAGAAGGGGGGACCACTGCATGGTGGTTGATTAAGCACCGGCGGAGAAGGGGGGATTATCGGTGCCAGAGGACATCTTCGAAGCTTTAGTCATGGAGTTCTCTGTCTCTCCCTCCATCTTCCTCTTCTCTTTTCTCCCTCATAACAATGTTTTCTTATTATTTTCCCATATATAAAACCAAACAATGGAAAAGTAAATTTTTACACTTTCCCATCCCATCCCACCCAAATCTTCTTACAAACCAAACAGAGCCTAAAGTTAATTTGGTTCTTGGAAATAGGAGTTTGAAATCTTAATGGAAATAGTCCCTCTTCTATTTCCAATAATTTGGTTGGGTGGAATGGAATTTCGACCATCTTAATAGAAATAGTCCATTCTAATTTCAATAGTTTGGTTGGGTGGAATGGGATTTCGACCATTCCTGGGTCGTGGTAGCCTAACAAAATCTCATTTATTTCTACAAAATTACTATACTAAGCTATGTTTTACAGAGAATTTGCAGACTTGTTAGTTGTTACTGTACAAAATGGTGGACTTCATACAGAACTCTTTCTTCAGAGTTCACACCTCAGAGACACCATCGCCGTGCCAGGCAAAAACTATGTCTTGTAGCTCAACTCTTAAATCTCTCCACTGATCAGCCTCCTCGACTTCTGCTTCTTCCTCACCCATTCTTTCCACTTCTACCAGAAACAATGAATGTGCCAGTTCCAACACTCGAACCGACATTATCAACCTTGCTTTCTCCAGTCCCAGTACCCCATCTTTCCTTCTCTGAACCATGTACCCCAGTTTCTCTCCAACTTCCGTCACCCTCTCCACAATTTTTTCTCCCGATGACACCGTCGACGTGAACCTTTCCGATCTCTTCCTCTCTTCTTCGAACAAACCAGACAAGTCCAACCCTGAGGACAACGAAATGATATCGAATGCATTCATCGCCGGCGCTGCAGCTGTATTATTTGTTAACAAGTGAAGCTTACCTTCCTTGGGCAACGCCACTGGGTCCAAATCGACCGGAGTAATGCGTCGTCCATTTGATCGAAACGACTTCTTGAACCAGGAAACCTCTATGAGACCTTGAATGCTGATCCGAGTCTCGGGATTCGGATCGAGAAGTCGAACAATAACCCACTTAGCGGGCTTCGAGAACCATGAAGGGAACTGAAACTCTCTGCGTTGCATCTTGCGGTACATCCCGGTAAGATTGGCGTCGTTGAATGGGAGAAACCCAGCAAGCAGAACAAAGAGGATTACTCCACAGGACCAAGCGTCGGCCTTAGTCCCATCGTAACCCATACTCGCAACCACCTCAGGTGCGGTGTAGGCAGGCGTGCCGCATGCGGTGTGAAGGAGGCCATTGTTCAACCGTTCGGAAAGAGCCGAGAGGCCGAAGTCAGATACCTTGAGGTTGTCTTCGTGATCCAAGAGAAGGTTCTGAGGCTTGATATCGCGGTGGACGACACCACTTCTGTGACAGAAATGAAGAGCCAATACGAGTTGTTGGAAGTACCGACGAGCGGTTGGCTCGGTTAAGCGTCCATGGCGGGAGATCTTGGAGAGAAGTTCGCCGCCTTCAGCGTACTCCATGACCAGATAGATCTTGGACTTGGTGGCCATGACTTCATGAATCCGAACAACGTTCGGATGTCGAAGGCGATGCATTACGGAGATTTCACGAATGATGCGCGGTTCCATCGTTGTGTTGGCTACTTTTCTTTTGTCGATGACCTTGATGGCTATATCGGCGTCGTCGGCAAGAGACCTCGCATGGTAGACCTTGGCGAAGCTACCGCGACCCAGGACACGGCCGAGCCTGTACTTTCCGAGCAAAACCCCGGCGGTGGTGGTGGAGGCGGAGATTGGAGCACTGGACTCGATCTCCAAGCCCATGTCTCTCTTGATCGGTTGCGAGAGGTGAAAGGGGTCTTCTTATAGGGGAGATTATTTATTTGTTTTTCGTTGACTATTATTGTTTGGTGCTGATTATTAAATTGTTGGCAATAAGACCCATAAGCGGGTTTCAGACACTCAATTTGCCAGCTGTCCTTCATCAATAATGAAATGGAGACGATGGGACCCCAACCAGAATAGGTCCAAATTATGTCGATCAGATTCAGGGGTTCTACTGTTTAGCTTTAGGAGTTCATTGAAAAGCTATTAATGGCTGTGCAACTGCAACTGCAAGGGTTTCAAGGTGGGATACAAGTTGAAACTCTGCTTTGAAGCCTGAAGCTTGCAGAGCCAATCACACGTGAAGTAGTACTCTCAAAGCCAATCACTGAATCTGCTGTTGTCAACCAAATCATCATTTAAAGCAAAAACAAGCGATCTAATTGCATTTGGAAGGCTGCGTAAGTAATTGAATTGTTAATTAAGAGAATCATAAGTAATCTAATTCTTCTGCCTGCCTGACTGAAGCCCGTGAGGAATCAAGAAACTACGCGTTTTTCTGAACTAACAGGCAACCGTAAAAGAGGATCTCTAGTCAAAAGGAAACTCGTTCCAATTCAAGGTTGTTTGTTAGTTGTGGTTTTACCATTCAAAGTTACAATTGCTTCTATATATGTTGATTATGTTTTTCTCTGCTCGGATATCCTGCCGACAAGAATTTTACCCACACTCGTTACAGCTGTACATTGAAAACATCTCTCATCTACGAAACATGTGGCCATTAAGCATTAGAGGTTAGAATAGCGAAGAAAGTCTTGCGTAGTGATGTTATGTAGGTTGTTTCTAGAGGCATGCAAACGCCTTTCTAGGTGTCGTTACTTGATTACATGACATGCCGTGTATATGCTTCCTTGTATTTTTTTTGTTTTTTTGATAGAAATGAATTTAAGCAAGCAAATATAATTGACATTTGGAGAAGGCGTTTATTTGAGAAGGATGCGTTTGAACCCCGCAAATAGGGGTGTTATGGAGCCGGTTTGGATTGGATCCGTCCGAATTAAAATCAATTTGAACAGGTTGGATGACCGAATAAGATATGTTAAATTGGACGGGGTTGGGTTGAACCAACATCCAATCCTCACAAAAATTAAGAGTAGGGGTGTGAACCCCATCAGGTTTGGATTGGATCAAATACGGTTCAATAAGACATTGAATTGGGTCCATACTGTCCAAAATATTTATTAGATTCGATTGACCTGGTCCATCTGTAATGGATATTGATGAGGGGTAATTTGGTCATTTCAATCGTACAGCGATACATGGTTTTTGGATGATATCTCGGTGCTGAGTCAGCGAACTAGCTCAGTGAAATTAGCTCGGAACATCTCACCCAGGCCGACGTCTACCTCGGCAAGACCAAACTAGCTGACCCCATAGGATTACGGCGAACTGTCCTAGGAGTCAGTTGAGCTATAGGGACTTGAGGCGACATGCTAAGGAGAGCTCGCTAACCACCCCTTACAATTCCACCTCAGCAAGGCCAAGCTGGCAGACCCATAAGATTACGACGACCTGTTCTAGGAGTTGGCCGAGCTAAGAGGACCTAAGGCGACCTGTGAGGAAGAGCTCGCTAACCGTCCCTAGTAGCTTGCTACCAAAGATGTTGATAACGCGATCGTTAGAATGGCTAACCGTGTCACGTGCTAGATTCTACGTGAACGAATCGTAACTCCCGCAAAGATCTCTCAATTGACACCTTAATGCACCTGAAGATAGCGAAATTGTTCCATAAAGAGCTCAAGACTGTTACCATAAGCCCCCTGAGTCCAGGGACCTATATAAGGCGCTCAGATCCACCCAGAAAGGTATGTGCACTGAGGCACTTAAGCTCTCTCACACATTCTCACGAAAACTCATGTACTGACTTAAGCATCGGAGTGTTCCCCTGGTTAAAGCCTACCCAAGCACTCTAATCCTTCTTTCTTTATAGCTCTTTCCAGCTTGGACGTACAGATACCAGCTCGGCACTGCCAGATCAGGACCTTGTTCGAGCCTAATCACAGGACACGAGTAAGCGAGCAGATTGTGCATCATCAATTGGCGTCGTCTATGGGAAATTGTAACAAAAAGTTAAGTTCTCTCTTACTTTTCTTGAACACTGAGTAATGGCATCCTCAAGCAATCAGCTTGCCAACAACAACAACAATGGCCAAATCCCCACTGTCACTAGTGGCCAAATCGACGTCTCCTTACACCTAGATGTACCAAAAAATGTGAACGCACCTCCTCCTGTGCTCAAGCCCACAGTGGCTCTTGCAATAGTTGACGCACGCTAGTTCTATGATCTGGTGCGATGTGTGCAAGGGATGAGGGAGCATATCAAATCTTGGGAAAGCAAGTTTGCTTCCATAACCGGGGAGCAACAATAACAGCAGCGGTGGCAACAAGTACCTCTCCAACAAGTGCCTTTTCAGAAGGTACCTCAACGTAGCCAACAGCTGGATCCAAGTCTCCAACAGATTGCCTGGGCACAATGACAACTAGCATCATGTCAACAACGCAGCCCATAACAACCAACTCCCTGTATAGAGCCAAGTTGCAGCTCCCGTTGGGACCGAGGCCGCTAGCTCATCTGCAAGGACCAAGAAAAAGCATGGAAGGCGTGCTCACCACACTAGGAAGGAAAGCCAAGGCCACTCCAACCAGGGAGGCATCAGGAAGCAAAGTGAACAACAAGGAAGAAAGTAAGGTAAGCAGCAAAGTAGTAAGTCAGGCCGGTCCGAGCTTATCAGAAAGAGAAAGCAAGCTGAGGAAGAGACAAGCAACAACAAGAAAAAGAAGATAAGTAAATCTCCTAGAAGAATCAGGTCACCTCGGAGCAGGCGTAGCAGCTCGCCACGAAGAAAAAGCATGTCACCACCTTGGAGCTCGACTCAATGACAAGCCACTCCACCTCTGTATAGAAGCTCACCTTTGATGAGCTGAAAAGATACCTTAGTTTGCCTCCCCTACTGACCAAACTTAAGACTGGAGACAAGCTTGAACTTTACCTCTCTGTAAGTGACGAGGAAGTTAGCTCAGCCCTTATAAGAGAAGTAGATAAAATACAGCGACCGGTGTACTACGTAAGCAAAGTCCTCCATGTTGCTGAAACAAGGTACCCCAACATAGAGAAGCTTGCCTTTGCACTGGTGTTAGCTGCTTGAAAGCTGTGACCATATTTCCAGGCCCACACCATTATAGTTTTAACCAATCGACCTCTGAAGCAAGTCCTATAGAAACCTGAGGTCTCGAGGAGACTCACCAAATGGGCGATCGAGCTCAGCGAATATGGTATCCGGTATGAACCACGACCAGTGATAAAAGCACAGGTCCTGAAAGACTTCATTGTCGAGTGTACCTTTAACTCGCCACCCCCTGAAGTGATAAGGCTAGAAACAGAAGCTTCATCCAATGCGGCACCACACCCAGCTCGCGAGAAAGCAAGCTAGGACGAGGAGCCCTGGATACTTCGTGTGGATGGCTCGTCTAACCAGAGCAAAAGCGAAGCTGGGTTGATACTCTACGGACCTAGTAACATAAAGCTGGAGTACGTGCTCTGGTTTCAATTCCGAGCTTCAAATAACGAGGCCGAATATGAGGAGTTGTTGGCTGGCTTGGCACTAGCAAAGGAAGTAGGAGTTAAGCACCTTGTAGTTTGCAGCAACTCACAGCTCGTCGTAAATCGAGCAAATGGGGAATATGAGGCATGAGAACCCTCCATGGCAGCCTACTTGACCAAGGTGAGAGAACTCCTACCTGATTTCAACTCTTGGTATCTCCAACAAATTCCGAGATCAGAAAATACAGAGGTTGATGCTCTCTCCAGACTTGCGAGCATGATTGACTTGACAAAACGAATAATCTACATAGAAGAGCTACCTCGTCCATCAATAGAAAGGGGGGCAGAAGAGGTCGCCCAAATAATAACTACAGAGCTAATCTGGATCGACCTAATTTTTAGCTACATAAAGTAGGGCATATTGCCAAAAGAATGAAATGCAGCTTGACTTATAGAATGACAAGCAGCTCACTACATAATAGTAGGCGAGCAGCTCTACAAAATATTTTTCACGTACTACAGAGCCGAGCTGGATAGATCCAACCTTCGACTACATAATACAAGGCATATTGCTGAAAGAAAGGAATGCAGCTCGACGGATAGAACGACAAGCAACTCGCTACATGATATGGGCGAGCTGCTCTACAGAAGGTCCCTCACACTACCTTACTTATGATGCCTGCGACGAGCTGAAGCAGACAAGGGTAATACTGGCCTACCGTGAAAAGTAGATGTGGTCAAGCTGGTCTTGAGATGTGATAAATGACAATGACATGCCAACATCCTACACCAACCAACACGCGCTCCCTTCTTTCCCCATATTTGATGTTTGAAGAAGAAAACACAGCCCGCCCAACTTCAGACTGAGCTAATAAAGCAAGCCACCTATGAACCAACCAAACCAATTACCCTTACTGAGAGTTACTCTCTTCGCCGAGCTAACGCTAGCTCGAGAGGGGGGAAATTGATGAGGGGTAATTTGGTCCTCCCAGTCGTACAGTGACATGTGGCTTCTGGATGACACCATGGCGCCAAGTCAGTGAACTAGCTCAATAAAATTAGCTTGAAACATCTAACCCGGGCCAACCTCTACCTCAGCGAAACCAAAGTAGCTGACCCCATAGGATTACAGAGAGTTGTCCTAGGAGACAATCGAGTTGTAGGGACTTAAGGTGACCTACTAAGGAGAGCCTACTAACCACCCCCTATAGTTCCACCTCGGCAAAGCCAAGTTGGCAGACCTATAAGATTTTGGCGACCTGTTCTAGGAGTTGGCCGAGCTGAGAGGACCTAAGGTGACCTACGAGGAAGAGCTCGCTAACCATCCCTAGTAGCTCACTACCAAAGGCACTGATAGCGCGACCGTTAGAATGGCTCACAGTGTCGCGTGCCAGATTTTACGTAAACAAATCGTAACTCCCGCAAAGATCTC